GACTTCGTCTCTTATACTTTGGACATATTGTCAGGAGGGACCAGTCACTGGATAGGGATAGCATGTTTGCTAAGGTTGAGGGTGAGAGAAAAAGAGGAAAACCCCCAGCGAGATGGATTGGCAAAGTGGCAGCATCAATGAGCTCAAGTGTGACAGCAACTGTGAGGTTAGCCCAGTCCTGTTGTGCACAGGGTCACTATGAGTCGGTACAACTTGATGGCACCTAACAACAACAACAAACATTATTATCTGACAATCAGCAATCAGGTAATAAATTCATGTCTATGATTCCTAGTTCTGTGCACTTCTCAATAAAACATTTATCTAATCAAATGACTTTGGTGATCTCAGCAAAGAGAAAAAATTTAAAACTCTGTATTTACTTTCTTGACAGAAACTACAAAGGATCACATAAAGAATCAAAACACTTCACAATATTTCTATTGTTCCGTACAAAATCTTCAGCATGCAACCGATTAAAAAAATGACATTGAAAGCTGCGTACAAGGAACATTTGTACACAGCTTCAATTTCTTTTTACTTCAGCTCCTGAGAAATTCTACCACAAGTTTTTAGAACTCTGGACTTACTTTTCTTAATTCATCAGAAATGAGGAAGGGGTCACAAAAATAATCTAAGCACTTCACAATATGTCCACTGTCCCGTACAATATTTTCATCATATAATGGATTAAAAAATGACATTGACAGCTGTGTGCAAGGAACGTTTATAGCTTCAACTTTCTTCACTTCAGTTCCTGCAAAACAGATATTTTATAAACAATAAATAGAAACATTAATTTAGTATTCTAAATTATTTGCACAACATACCACAGGAAGAGAATTTAAGAAGAAATCAATTAGGACATATGCTTTGATGTTTTTAAAAGAGACTAGCAATTCTATTAAATTGTTTTGAAGCTTCTTTATTTTTATTAATCATTAAAGAAGATCAAATTATTTTAGGACTAGATCAAGGGATATGAGAATTAGATAATGATTAAAAATGAAATACATTTTTTGTACAGTAGGGGGTTCTAACATGTTTTACTGCATATATCAGAATTATCTGCAATAGCATGTTGCTATTAAGTGCCATCAAGTTGGTTTTGACTCATAGTGATACTGGATAGGGTTTTTGGGCCTGTAAATCTTTATGGGAGTAGAAAGTCTTCTATTTCTCCTCCCATGGAGCAATTGGTGGGCTCAAACTGCTAACCATGAGATTTCAACTCCAATGCTTATCCTATGTACTCCCTATAATAACATGGTGGTGGTTGTATGTCGCTGAGTTTGTTCCCACTTATGATGACCCTGTATAGGGTTTCCGAGTCTGTAAATCTTTACGGGAGCAGAAACTCTCTTTCTTTGTTGGCAAAGTGGGTGTTAGATTCAAACTATTGACCCTGTGGTTATAAACCCAGCTAGTAATCCACTAAATGAGCTCTGGTAGCGTAGTGGTTATGAATTGGGCTGATAATCTCAAGGTCAGAAGTTTGAAACTACCAACTGTTCCGTGGGAGAAAGATGCGGCTTTCTGCTCCCGTAAAGATTTACAGCCTCGGAAACCCTGTACAGGGTCACTATGAGTTGGAACCGACTCCACAGTACTTAACAACATAACAGTAATCCACTGGAGTCCTGGTGTGGTGCTGTGGTCTAAGGTGTTGAACCACAAGGCTGGCAATTCAAGCTCACCAGCTGCTCCTTGGAAACCCTATGCAGGGTTACTATGGGTCAGAAGTGACTCAACAGTACTTAACAACAAGTAATCCACTACACTACCAGGTTGTTGTTGTTAAGTGCCATTTAGTCAGTTCCGAATCATAGTGACTCTATCAATGTAGAATTTCTAAGGAGTGACTGCAAGGTTTGAACTGCTGACCTTGTAGTTAGCAGTCCAGTGCTAATCCTACAGAGCCAAACCAAGACTCCATAGGAATTACTTTATATGACTCTGAATTTGTAAATTTGTATTATGCTTTATTCTTTATAATTCCCTATTGCTGTTGTTGTTGTTGTGTGTTCCCTATTACAACAATTATATTAACTAGTGTAAGTGATGAATGTTTCTAACATTTTTGAGGGCATCTTGAAAATATTTTCTCTTCAGTAAAAAATTTCCCCATGATCTTATTTACAGTGTTCATAACAAAAAAAACAATGTTTCAGAGTAAATTGCAAATCAAGCCCTCAGAAAATTGTCACAAGTTTCAAATGAAAACTTGCCCTCAATGCTTCCCTCTTGGACCCCACACCTATTTTCTAAATGCATCTTTCATATATGGATTTTCTGTTACTTTATTAAACTTCTATAAATTATAGAAAGCCATAAAGATAGATGCAAATATTTTGATTATTACTCCAACAGATCAAACAATTCTTGGAAAAATTCCATTTTTGGGGGGTGGGGTGCGGAGTAGAATCATATTTTACTTTTTTAACTTTTTATAATGAATTGAGTGAAGGTTTACAGAGCAGATTATCAATTTTACATGCAACAGATTATCAACACTTTGCTTCATCTCACGACTACTATTCCCTCAGTTACATCCTCCCTGTGCTTGAGTTCCATTCCTATTTTCCCAGCCCTTCTGAATTGTATCTTTAGGTAAATGCTGCCCTTTTGACCTTGAGAATTGTTTAATGTAATGATGTAGTTGTTAAGCGAAGCTGAGTAGGCTTCAACTCATAGGGAACCTGAATAGGGTTTCTGAGGAGAGACTGGTGGGTTTGAACTGCCAAACTTGAGGTTAACAATCTGGTGCTTATCCTATAGCACCACACAATGAAGACGGCTAAATGTGACAGCAAAGTTTTTTTCTCTTTTCATCTTTATGATATTTAATACTATTTTCTCCTTTCTGAAAAGATTTATACTAATTCAGAAATGTACTTTGCTCTATGGAGTCCTGGTGTTACACTGTAGTATAAGCACTAGTCTGCTAACTGCAAGGTCAGAAGTTCAAACTCATCAGCCGCTCCTTGGATATGAGTTGGAACCAACTCAATGGCCCTTAACAAAAACACTTTGCTCTACAGTTGTGGTTAATTCTTATAAGATGTTAATACAAATATTCATGACTTCAATGTACTGGGAAGTTAATTATTTAAAGTGTCTTAAGCAAAGTTCAATTATTGTTAGATGTTACAATAATTATCCACTAGAAGAAAAGAAGATGAAAACTAAAGAATGAGGAATCTAGATTCTACATAATTTGAATCATACTTTAAATCTGCTCTGTTGTTGCTGTTGTTGTTAAGTGCCGTAACCAAACTAGAGCAGATGATCAAACTAAATCTGCTCTAGTTTGGTCAGAGTAGTTAGTACATTGATTAGGGCATTTTTAAATTTGACCACAGACTGAACCAAATTTTAAGACAGGTTTGCAGAAATGTTTTTATTTTTGAATAAACTGTATACAAAAACAAAGTAATAAAATAAGTAAATGTACTTTTAAATAATCAACATTATAGTTATAATTCATTATTGTTTAGTATTACATTTGCATGTTTTTGTTCTTAAGAACATAAAATAATATCTATATTATTGTCAATCATACTTTTACCAGTGAATGCTCAATTCATAAAGTTTTATCCAAATGTAAAAATTATTGTGTTATTCATAAGGTTTCTAGACATGGGAGAACCCTAGGCATTTTAATACAGATTTTTCCTTTCTCATTAAACACAGACAGACATAGGCTCCCAGTAAGAGTTAAGAATATTTTTCTTAAGAAATTATTTTAGATATTGTTGTTGTTGAATTGGTTCCAATTCATGATGACCTTATACACAACATAATAAAACACTCCTTGGTCCTGTGCCAACCTCACAATTGTTATTATATTTGAGCCCATTGCTGCTCCCACTGTGCTAATCCGTCTTGTTAGGGATCTTCCTCTTTTTTTCACTGACCCTCCACTTTACCAAGCATGATGTCCTACTACAGTGACTGGTCCTTCCTTATAACATGTCTGAAGTGTGAGAAACTAAGTCTTGGCCATTCTGGTTTCAAAGGAGTACTCTGGCTGTACTTTTTCCAATACAGTTCTAGGCATCCACGGTACTCTTCATAGTCTTCTCCAACATGATTCAAATGCATCGATTCTTCTCCACTGATTCATTGTCCAACTTTCACATGCATATGAGGCAATTGAAAAAAAAAAACAAAACATGGCTTGGGTCAGGTGTACCTTAGTTCTCAAACTGATATCTTTGCTCTTGAACACTTTGAGAGGTACACTTTGAGATGAAACAAAGTGTTAATGATTTGACTAATTTGATTACTTGAATGGTGTGATGCTGTGGGTTAACGCGCTGGACTGCAAAGCCGGTTTAAAACCCAATGTCGGTGGTTCAAGCTCACTAGCTGCTCCTCAGAAACCCTATACAGAATCGCTATGGGTCGGAGACTACTTGGCGGCATTTAACAATAACAACAACTTCCACTAATGCCTAGGATATCAATGTTTATGCATTCCATTTTTTACAACTTACAATTTTCCTAAATTCATACTTTGTGCATTCCACGTTCTGATTATAAATAGATGTTTATAGCTGTTTCTCCTAATTTTGAGTGTGCCCCTTTAGCAAATGAAGGTCCCAAAAGCTTTATTCCACTTGCATCATCTTGGCCAACTGAAAAGGCAGCTCTTCCTCAACTGTATTTTGAGTGCCGGCTAACTGGATGGGTTCATTTTCTGGCACTATATCTGACAATATTCTAGTACTCTTCATCATAGTTCAGTATTTAACATTCTGTTGTTATCTGAGAGTGTTCCACAGCTATTCATGTTTTCAGTGACTAAACATTTGGAAGTAGTCTGTCTCTCCTTCTTCTAGTCTGTCTTAGTCTGGAAGCTCACCTGAAACCTGTTCACCATGGGTGACCCTGCAGGTATTTAAAATACCAGTGGCATAGCTTCTAGAATCACAGCAACATGCAAGTTACTGACGATTGGTGGAGCAAGGTGGTATCATCTGTCAATTTTAGGTTGTTTATGAGTCTTCGTCCAACCTTGATGCCATGTTCTTCTTCATATAATACAGTTTCTCGAATTATTTGCTTAGTGTACACACTGCATAATTATGATGAAAGAATACAACCCTAGCGAACCCCTTCCCTAATTTTAAACCATTTGGTGTTCCCTTGTTCTGTTCGTACATCTGCCTCTTGGTCTATGTACAGGTTCCTCATGAACACAATTAGATGTTCTGGAATATTCATTTTCTACAATGTTGTCCATAGCTTTTTATGATCCACAGTTGAATGTCTTTGCATAGTCAAAAAAGCAAAGGTAAACATTTTTCTGGTATTCTCTGCCTTATCTGAATCCAGCTTGAATCTCTGGCAGTTCCCTGTCAATATACTGATGGAGCTGTTTTGAAATTATCTCTTTCTTGCATATGATAGAAATGACATTGTCTGATAATTTTGGCATTCCATTTGGTCACTTCTCTTTGGAATGGATGCAGATATGGATCTCTTCCATTAGTCAGTCAGATAGCTGTCTTCCAAATTTCTTGGTATAGAAGAGTGAGTGCATCCGGTGCCACATCAGTTTGTTAAAATATTTCAATTTGTATTCCATCAAATCCCACAGTCTTGTTCTTTGCCAAAGTCTTCAGTGCACCTTGTACTTGTTCCTTCAGTACCATTAGCTCTGGATCATATATCTCTTGAAATGGTTGAACATCTACCAGTTCTTTTTGGCACAGTGATTCTGTGTATTCCTTCCATCTTCTTTTGATGCTTTCTACATCATTCAATATTTTGTCCACAGAATCCCTCAGTGTTGCCAGTTGAAGATAGATTTTTTTCTTCAGTACTTTTGAGAAATGCTTCCCTTTTGGTTTTCTAACTGCAGGTCTTTGTACATTTCATTATAATACTTGACTTGGTCTTTTTGAGCTGACCTTTGAAATGTTCTGTTCAGCTCTTTGACTCTCTTATTTCTTCCATTTGCTTCAGCATCTCTATGCTAGAGAGCAAGTTTAGAATTACTTTTGACCTCTATTTTGGTCTTTCCCTTCTTTCTTGTCTTCTTAATGATCTTTTGTTTTCTTCCTACATGATGTTCTTGATTTCATCTCACAACCCTTCTGGTCTTCAGCCATTAGGTTTGTTTTACTTTGAATCCTTCTACATCTGGGTTGAGTTCTAGGTATTATTGTCATGTATGGTAGTCTCTCAGGTTGTTGTCTGCTGTTGCTGGTTCTCTGCACAAAGAACTCTCTTCAATATTTTTTGTAACTTTGGTCTGTTGTTGGCAAGTGATGCTGCGGCAGTTCTGACTCATAGTGACCCTTGCCCAACAGAATGAAACATGCCAAATCCTGTGCCATCGTCCTCAAACTGACATCTTTGCTCTTCTACACTTAAAGAGATCTTGTGCAGCAGGTTTGCCTAATGCAATATATTGTTTGATATCTTGATTGCTACTTCCATGAGTGTTGATAATGGATGCAAGCAAAATGAAGGTTTTGACAACTTCAATCTTTTCTCCATTTATACGGATGTTGTTTATTGGTCCAGTGGTGAGAATTCTTGTTTTCTTTACACGTAAGTGTAACCTATATCGAAAGCTACGGTCTTTGATCTTCATTGGTAAGTATTTTAACTTCTCTTTGCTTACAGCAAGCAAGGTTGTATCATCTGCATATCATCTATTGTTAATGAGTTTTCCTGATGCTACTGTTTTATTAACATAATCCGGAATTTCAGATTATTTGCTCAGCATACAGATTGAATAAGTATGGTGAAAGAATAAAACCCTGGCACTTTTCTGATTTTAAGCCATTTCAGTATCGTCTTGTTCTGTTCTAAAGGCTGACTCTTGATTTATATAAGGTCCCTCAAGGACAGTTAAGTGCTCTGGAATATCTATTCTTTGCAATGTTATCCATAGCTTGTCATGATCTACAGTGGAAAGCTTTCAATAAAGCACAAGTAAATGTCTTTCTGGTAATCTCTGCTGTCAGTCAAAAGCTATCTGACATTGCTGATATTAGCAATGATATCCCTCATTCCATGTCCTCATCTGAATCTGGTTCGATCCCTGTCAATGTACTGTTGCAGCCATTTTTGAATTATCTTTAGCAAAATTTACTTGTATTCGATACTTTTGATATTGTCCAATGATTTCTGCATGAAGTTGGCTCACCTCTCTTTGGAATGGATACAAATATGGATCTCTTCCAATGAGTTGGCTAGGCAGCTGTTATCCAAATTTCCTGGCATAGATGACTGAGCGCTACCAGTGCTGCATCAGTTTGTTGAAAGATGCAATGTGTATTCCATCAATTGCCAGAGCCTTGTTCTTTACCAATGCTTTCAGTGTACCTTGTACTTTTTCCTTCAGTACCACTGGATCTTGATCATATGCTACCTCTTGAAATGGGTGAACATTATTCATTTCTTTTTGGTACAGTGACTCTGAGTATTCCTTCATCTTCTTTTGATGCATTCTGCATTCATCCAATATTTTGCCCATAGACTCCTTCAATATTTCAAGTTGAGGCTTGATTTTGTTCTTCAGCTGTTTCAGCTTGAGAAATGCTGAGTGTGTTCTTTCCTTTTGGTTTTCTAACTCCAGGTCTTTGGACAATTCATTATAATACCTGATTTTGTCTTCTCAAGCTTCCCTTTGAAATTTTCTGTTCAGCTCTTTTAGCTCCTCATTTCTGTCATTTGCTGTAGCATCTGTATGCTAAATGTATTATTTCCAGCATAGTATATATACTCTGTGATTTTCAGATTCAAAATAGCCAATACAAGTCCATTTCTGCTCACTAATGTCTAGGATATTGATGTTTATGTGTTCCATTTAATTTTTGACAACTTCTAATTTTCTTAGATTCACACTTTGTAAATCCCATGTTCCAATTATTAATGGATGTTTGCAGCTATTTTTCTTCATTTTGAGTTGTGTCCCATCACCAAATGAAGGTAGCAAAAGCTTTAACTTCATTGGCATCATCACGGTCAATTCTACTTTAAGGAGGCAGCTCTTTCCGAGTTTTATTTTGAGCCTTCCAACCTGAGGGACTTATCTTATGGCACTATATTTGGAAATATTCTGGTGTATGCATCATGTTTTAATATTCAATATCCTGTTAGGCACATGTGGAATTAAAAAAAAAAAACAACTTTTTTTTTGCAATGTCTTCTTTAAAGATTAGAGAGATAAGTCAAGTGTTATTTTTTTGGTGTATGTGTTGATATGGGAGAAGGCTAGACACTTATTTTAGAAAACCTCTTTCAAAAAATTGAATTAGCAATTTACTATAAACATGTTTTATAAATACTACAAATGGTATTATTTCGTTTTGAAATTTTTATTTGAATTTGTAAACATATATTCATTTAGATACTCAGTCTACTAACATTACAAGTGGTCTGAAGATCATGCTTTAACAGCTTTTTTGCTCTATAAATTTTGCAGTGGTTCTTAGATAAACTAATTCTAGAATCATGAACTGCTTGTAATCTTGTTTTTGACTAATAAATTAAGAAAAAGTTATTTTTACATAGGCTATTTCTTGAATTCCATGAACGAACAATGTAAGAAACAATTTTATTTCTAAATAATTTATTTCTAAATAAAAATTAATTTTATTTACTAAAATAAAAATAATTAAAAAAACCCAAAAAGCCCACCTAGTATTTAAAATTAATTTGTGTTTTCTAAAGCACAAACCTAAAGATTCTTTCTAAATGGAATGATGCTTTTACTTCCTCAACTGTTAAGCAGCCTTAACCTAAAGTTTGAAATACAACGTTTTTGTTCACAACAAAGTCTTCTATTTAACTCTGATTTCTTATTTGATCTGATAGTTAAGTTTAAATGAAAACATGTTAAGTATTTCAGTGGTTGTACTCAACCAGTTGTTTCAATATATTATGAAAATATTATTTACATAAAGCTCTCCTTTGAAGAATCTAAGATTGTCTCCTTCATGGCTTAAAACGTAATTATTATTTTTTAAATGACCTATGGAGATTGCTTCCTGTGTCAGAAATCCATGCCCTGTCCCAATCAAGATTTAGCACAAGCATTCCTGTCAGTGGAATCTTTCCTGATCCTTTTCCCCTGGGTAGAACTCACTACCCCCTCTCCTTTCCTCATTTCGGTGATAACACCTGAACTCATGGTGTAGCCTGTAAGATAATAAGCACTGGGCTACTAACCAAAAGTCGGCAGTTCAAACCCACCAGCCATTCCTTGGAAAACCTATTCAAGGTCGCTATGAGTCAGAAGTGACTTGATGGCACTTAACAACATGATAACACCTTTGACACGTCATTGCACTTATTTGTTCACATATCGTGAGTTCCTTGAGTACAGGTTTTCTCTCATTCACCTTCATGTTCCCAGGATCAAGTAATATATATAGAAGGTGCACAGTGTTTTATGAATGAATAGAGAGAAAAATTGCTCTTTAGTTCTAAGCCAGGATCCCCAAACCAAACCCACTACCATAAAGTCAATACCAACTCATACAGATATTATAAGATAGAATTGTAGAACATCCCCCACAGGGTTTTCAAAGCTGTAAATCTTTGTATTAGCAGACTGCCACACCTTTCTCAGTGGTTAACAGCCAAGCTTTTAATCACTGTGCTACCAGGGCTCCTAAGACAAGATGGCAGCAGTGAATTCCCATCAGGCAGGTGCAAGGAAGGTGTGGCAAGCTGGTCATACTTGACCTTGATGTTAAAAATGGAGGAGTCATTTCTCACAATCTGGATTTTATTACGAAAAATTCCTGAGGTGGAATTTTGTTGTAATAGTAAAATAGTTACCTGAAAAAAAAAAGAAAGAAAAGAAAAGAATTTTTATTTACCTAATGTAATCCATTGTTCAGAAGAATCGGAAAGTAATTTCAAATTGGAAAGAACATTTGAGTCTTTGAAGAAATCCTAAAATAAAAATTTGAAGGGAACAAATTAAATACTTTGCTATAATGATAACAAAAATTAACTTCTAAAGTAACTATGGAAAATTGCATTTAATTCAAACTATAAAGGAAGGAAGAATTTTAAATGGGCATAATATCTACATAATAAATACAAAGAGTACCTTTTGCTTAGTTATAAGTCTTTGTAGCAGAAACTACATGGAATTTAGTAAATGACTGGACTTATGTTTGGGTATGCCATTTGTTGGGTGTTCTTGCACAAATGACTTAACCTTTCTGAGCTTCAGTTTCATCAGCTATAAAACTTACCAGATTGTTGTATATTAGTGATAAGTGTATATAAAAATTGCTGAAAGTTCTATTTGGCACACGGCAGTTACTATTGCTATAACAAAGCATTTTGTAATATACACATGCAAATGTTAATGACGACAATAAACTGGAGTTGCTATTGAGTGGATTCTGACTCACGGTGACTCATGGGTGTCAGAATAAAAACTGTAACATGGGGTTTTCAATGGCCAATTTTTCTGAGTTAGACTGCCAAGCCTTTCTTCTGAAGTTCCTCAGAATGGACTTGATCTCTAACTTTTTGTTAGCAGCTAAGTGCATTAATCATTTGTCCTATCAAGGGGCTACACCACATAGCTAATATTTATTAAGTACTTATTATGAGTCAGGTACTTGATTATTTAATATCAAATTATTTAATATTTTATTGGAGTCTGGTGTGGTGCTGTGGGTTAATGGGCTGGGCTCCAAAGTTAGTTTAAACTACAAGGTAGGTGGTTCAAGCTCACCAGTCGCTCCTAGGAAGCCCTATGCAGGGAGGGTCACTATGGGTCAGAATCGACTTGACAGCACTTAACAACAACATTATTTTATTTAATCTTTATGTCAATCTTATCAGGAATTCATTATTTTCCTATCCAAATCTACTTATTAAAAACACCATGTGCTAAGCACTGTGACTATTTGCAGACAAGTAAACAGAGGCTGGGGAAGGTTTAAAAACTAGCCTAATATATAGTTTGCAAGTTGGCAGAGGTGGAATTTGAACCCAGGACAAATCAGGGAACATTCGGGTTTTGCAAGGCCTTTAGTTTATACAAAATACCTTCATTTCTGAAAAAAAAAAAAATTAAAAAAACGTATGACTATATGAACATATTACAAGGGCCTCTTAGAGGGATTTGAAAAGGGCTTCTTCAAATGAGTAGCTTGCACTCGTGAGGGGTCCTGAAGTTTCAATGGCTTCAACGTAAATCTCCTTCTGGGCTATGTGGTTAGGCACAAAACTTTATTTCCTTACAGGAGTATATACAGTGGTTAGATGAGTACATTTCTTTCAACTTAAAAAAAAAAATGGGAGTAAGACTGGCCATTTGATAGGGGAAAAAACAGCTATAAGTAAACATGAAGAGCTTGAAATTAAGTTAGAAAGCAATTCCCTGATGTTACGGTAATTGGGTGTGCTCTATGGATGAGACTTGGGAGTACTGGTGAGGTGCTGCAGGATAAGCACTGGAATGTTAACCACAAGGTTGCAGTTCAAACCCATCAGACACTTTTCTGAAACCCGAACGAGGGTTGCTATGAGTTGGCACTTAACAACATGGATGAGCTTTAAGTCTGTTGAAGAACCCTATCTTTATTGAAAATTCAAAATAATTCTACACCCTCTACCATGGGTTGTTTCCTGACACTAATTCCCCTCTGTTGGTTAATTTTTTTTTTTTTTCCTGTGGAAAAAAAAACCTGTAGGATTGGTTACTGGACTGGTAACCAAAAGGATGGTGGTTCAAACTTACCACCTGCTCCTTGGAAACCCTACACTCATAGAGTTGCTATGACTCAGAACCAACCTGACAAGGCACCTTATAAATCCTCATTGCAGCAATGTATCATTGTGGAGGATCATTGATATTCCTAGTTTCCCAAATTGTACATAATGAGACCTAGTTCACTGGCTGCTAAGTGAAAGGTCGATACCCACCATCCATTCCTCAGGAGGAAATGAGGAAGTCTGTTTCCATGAAGGCTGCAGTATAGGCAGTCCTACTCTGTTTTAGAGGGTAGCTAGTGGTAAGGAGCTCTGGTAGCGTAGTGGTTACGAATTGGGTTGTGAACCTTAAGGTCTGCAGTTGGAAACTACCAGATGTTCCGTGGGAGAAAGATGAGGCTTTCTGCTAAGATTTATAGCCTCAGAAACCTTGTACAGGGTCACTATGAGTCGGAGCTCACTCCATGGCACATTATGATGACGATGAGTGGTAAGCCAAAATCAACTCGACAGTAACAGGTTTGATGTATTTTTTTTTTTTTTTTCTTTTCATTGTGGGTTTTTTGTGTTTGTTTTTTGATTTTTTTTTTTTTTTTTTTCTCCCTGAAAAACTGTATATGCCTTATAAACTTGGTCTTGTCGTTTTTTAATACCCTAGCAGGGACATTGTTGGTAAGTACCATGGAGTCGGTTCCAACTCATAGTGACCCTGCACAGGGTTTCTGAGGCTGTAAATCTTTATGGGAGAAGAACACCTCATCTTTCTCCTGCGGAACTGCTGGTAGTTTTGAACGGCTGACCTTGAGGTTGGCAGCCCGACTCATAACCACTACGCTACCAGAGCTCCTTCTTGTTGGCAGGCCGACTCGTTACCTCTACGCTACAATGGAGTCCTGGTGTGGCGCTGTGGGTTAATGAGCCAGACTGCAAAGCCGTCTGAACTGTAAGGTCGGCGGTTCAAGCTCACCAGTCACTCCTAGGAAACCCTATACAGGGTCGCTATGGGTCGGAACCGACTTGACAACACTTAATAACAACAACAACAAAGCAGGGACATAGTAAGTAGTCAATAAATTTTTATTGAATAAATGACATAGTAAATAAATTCACACTATATTAAGATATAATGAATGAAGATCCTAATGTTATAAAAAAGAAACTTGAGAGTTGGCACTGGTATAAATGAAAAATATTTTTAGAAAAATTGTAACAATCTAACCATTTGAGAATTAAATAGTATCATTTTAACAGTATTATACAAATTTAGAGGATGGAAAATAGGCATTTAACCCCTTTACATTCAAAACCACTGTCATAGAAGTAATTCTGAATCAAAAACCCCTATATAGGATTTCAGAGGCTTCAATCCTTAGCAAAGAGGAAAGCCCCAATTTTTTCCTGTGGAGTGGCTGATGGGTTTGAACTGCTGACCTTAGCATTAGCAGTCCAGTGTCACCAGGATTCCTTAGTAAATACTTTATTAAAATATTAAGAAAAAAACCCCTGTCAATCCTATCAAATGTTCTCTTATTCTCTTCACTGTACTTATCACCGTATGAATTGATTTAATTGTAGATTGACAAGTCTTGCCCACAGGTCTGTAAGGTCCCTGAAAGCAAGGTCCTTGTCTTTCTTGTTAATCCCTGTATTCCTGGTTCTTGGCAGAATGCCAAGTAGGCCCTAAAGAATGAGTGAATAAACTATGCCAACTATAAATTAAAGTTAATGCCTCAAGGACATGAATGGGAAAGAAGGAAGACAATTTCTTAATAACATATTTCTTAATAACCATAACAAATATTTTTTCTCTCAAGATAAAACAAAGGAAATGAGTGGTGAGACTTAAAATATAATGTGACTGAATTTTTTGTGTGACTTCCTATTGTGCATTAAGGGAGAGTTTCCAGAGCAGATCATCAATTATACATTCAACAAATCATACACTGTACTTGTTTCATTTCAATGATGACAACTGCCTCTATGTGTTATCTCTAAATTAACAATATTTACCTCTATTCCCATTAACTCTTGCACTCCTCCCTGTAACCTGGTACCTCAGTGGTTACGAGGCAGATTGCCTCGGAAACCCTGTATCAGCTACCTATGAATTGGAATACCACCTCTATCCAGGCAGCCTGATGTAGTGTGTTACATGTTGGCTGCTAAACATGAGGTCAGAAGTTCGAATCTACCAACCACTCCACAGGAGACAGATGCGGCTTTCTATTCCTGTAAAGATTTACATGCTAGGAAATCCTATAAAGGGTCACAAGTCAGAATTGACTCAATGGTTGTTGTTAAATGTTGTCAAGTTCGTTCTGACTCATAGCAACCGTATATAAGATTTCCAGTGAGAGGCTGGTCTAGTATTTTACCCAGCAGCACCACACCAGGAGTCCAGCCAATGAATAATTCTTTCCCTCTCACACCTGGTAACCATCAGAGACTATTTCTTTTAGCACAAAGACCTTTTCTTTTGGTTTCATACAATATTTGTCTTTTGGTGACTGACTAATTTCACTCAAAATTCCTGGGTGGTGTTGGGACTCCTGGTGTGGTGCTGTAGGATTAGCACTGGACTGTGAACCACTAGGTTAGCAGTTCAAACCTACCAGCTGCTCCACAGAAATCCATGAGTCAGAACTAACTTGACGGCCCTTAACAACAACTTCACTCAGCATAATATCCTCCAGGTTCATCCATTTTATGGAGAGTTTCACAGATGCATCATTATTTTTCAACATTGTGTATATGTACCAAAGCTTGTTTAACCATTCTTCTGTTGATAGGCATTTAAGATGTCTCCCTTTTTTACTATTGTGAATAGCAATGAACATGGGTGTGCATATTCTCTATTTGTGTCATGGTTCTTATTGCTTGAGCATATATGCCAAGTAGAGGGATGGCAGGGTCATAAGGCATTTCTATTTCCAAGTTTCTGAGAAAGTGCCATATCGTTTTTCACAGTGGTTGCACTATTTAACAGTCCCACCAGCAGTATAGGAGGGTCCCAGCATTTGCACTCATATTTGTTGTTTTCTGTTTTTTTTGGAATTTTGCTTTTAATGCTAGGGTTAAGGTGATATCTCATTGTTGTTTTGATTTGCCACTTGATCTCTCTAATGGCTGAAGGGAGGAGTGAGGTGGCTCTGTAGGATAAGTACTGGACTGCTAACCACAAAGTCAGCAGTTCGAACCCACCAGTCGCTTCTAGGGAG